CAGCTGAGAACTGAGTAACAGATCCCAGCAAGACTCTGTTGACTTACCGATACATATAGTGTAGTTACTCATTGGGGGGGGGGTCAGGTCATTCCATTACATCAATTTAAAATTTCCAAGTGTTTCAAACTTTGAAGAACTCCAAATCAAATGTTTTTCATCTTAGAACTTATAATAAATTACTTTAACATTATAAAACTGTAACATTATAATAAAATACTATCAAACCAAAAAGTAAGAGATACTCTCTACAGGACAATTGGTATGGGGAGCTAGGGGAAACTAATAAAACTAATACTAGTGTGCAAATTCTTAATCATCTGACTAGAAAACACTGGCGACAAGCCCGACTTTATTTCATAACATTTTTAATCAGTTTTTTTTTCATTATGAATACAACAGAAAGATATTCCAAGCAAACGTTGGAAAGTATCAAAATATCTTTTTAAAATCGTAACCTTTTATTGCCATCAATATGGCAAATTTCTTACAATTACAAAGAATGGTCAAAAACTGGCTCGATGTCAAAATTTGACAACCTCATCTCGACACGCCTTCACTCCCCGCCCCCAACAATAGGACAACGGTTTAAAAAAAAAAAAAAAAAAAAACAACCATGGAAACGTGTTCAAGAAAACAATAAGAAAATGATTAATAAAGTACCAGAATATTCTTTTACTCACAGTTCATATTCTAATTTCAAATTCAGCACGTTCAGTAAAACAGGGAATAAAAGTAAAACTAAAAAAACCCTTTTGGGTTTCTTGGCCTTGTCAATCATCGTAAAATAGCAGGAATTATATTGGCATCTTCACATGTCACGTTAACACATTCATTCATCCAAATCATTCGTTTAAAAATATAGATAATAATTTTAAAATAAAATTTAATAAACGTAAAACAAACATCAATATTTTATTTAACGCTTTTTAATTAGAAAGAATAAAAAAAATGTAAAAAGGCAGATGTTACTTTAATTGACACGTATATGGAATCGGTTTTACAACGTAACCATACTGTCATTAATAGTTCTGTTCACAAGCAGCGTATTCCTCCTCCTCCTTAATGTTTTCCTGTAATCATTTTTGAAAAATGATTTTCCTATGTATATTCGTAGTTACATGTCATTAATTTTTAAATTGAACAATGGACGGATGATAAACCAAAAAGTCCGACCTACTGGGTTTAAAAAAAAAACTGTTGACAACAGATCTTAGTTTATACTTGCCCCTGACAACCCACTTCCCAAATAGGTTCATGTGTTAATGTTATCAATACTTTGTGTAGTAGTGATGAGAATGCTATTATTAATGATCAATATAGCCAACAAGAACGCATGGAAGAGAAATCAATAAAAAAAAAAAATAAGATCACATAAGAAATGAATGAATTACCGATATTGGTAGAAGTGCTCAACTCATGTCGTGTTTTTATTATTGAGGAATTAAAAAAAAAATATTCCTAGGATTTTTTTAAAAAAAAAAAAAAAAAATAAAAAAAAATGGGGATATTTTCTGAATTATTTAAGAAAGGAAGTAAAAACGATATAACAACAAAAAAAAGTCAGAATGTGTGGGGGGGGCGTATTTTATTTTTATTTCTTATAAATCTTTCTCTTCTTCCCGTCTCTCACCACCCCGCCCGTCATCGATCTTCTTAAATATCGGTTTCGAACACTACACAGTTTATAAATAGACTGTGATGCCAGAGATATCGTCATCATCAATGTGTTGTAGCAGTGCACGGAGAATATAACATGCACAGATGAGAACGCGCACGTGCTCACCCACACAGTATTTTTCATTCTTCTTCCTCATTAAAGAAGGAAAAATAAGATTCGGAAGTGGGGGTGGGGGCGTGTATAAAACACTTTCGATTTTTTTTTTTTTTTTTTTTCCAATTTCGAAAGTAAATGAAAAGACTGACAAAGAAATCTAGTTAAATAAATATAGATCATGAATACGAGAAAATCTCAGAATTTGAAAAATCAATTTTAATTTCTATAATAAAAAATAAAATTAAAGATAAACTTTTTTTTTTTTTTTTTAAAGCCACGACCTAAAAAAATAAAATGAAATAAATATCCTCGATTTGTTGATGACACGTTGATATCTTATTTGTCGATGGGTATTTTCATTTTTTTTTTTTTTGGCGTCAAAAATAAGTTGTATATATTAGTTACTGGATTAATAATCAAATAAAATACCAGAGGTTTTTAAAAAGGTTTACATTTTTAAATTTTTACAATAGATACGTGTAAAAAGGTCCTTTTTCGCGCGCAGGAATGTCACATATTGGCATTTAATTTTTATTGTAAATCAGCACCTCACCTCGCATGATAAAGTAACAAGGATTTACTTCTTTTTTTCTTTTTTTTTTACAGTAATTATTGGTCAGTTTAGCTTTTTTGTGTTACTTTTTTTATGTCACTGTTTTTTTTTGTTTTTTTTATCTAAATAAAAAAGATTGAATTAAACAATATCCAAAGCATTTTTAACTAAATCTTACTTAGAGTGTAGCCTTTCGTAAAAAAATAAAAAATAAAAAACGAAAGTGATCTTTATTTTTATGGAGAAAGAAAGATATTCAAGATGCTTCTAAGAATCGGAGAAACGATTTTTTTTTATTTAACAGAGTTGAAAAAATTGAAGGTTACTGTTTCGAGTTGAGTGTCAAAAAAACGAAAATGTTCGTTACTGCATTTTCAATTAAAAGTTTCTAAGAACATAAATCACCTGTTTTCGTAAAAAAGAAAAAACTTTTGCCGTTTGCGTTACAACTGAATTAACCATGTAAGAATTTAGATAAAAAAAATTTGTTTAATTCTACTAATATGGTTATGGTTTGTTTTATAAAAAAAAATAAAAATAAAACTTCATTTAAAATGAAAATTTAATTTTTTCGTGTCAGTTCTAAGACTTAACAAGCTGTTAATAAAATGTCAAATTTTGGTCATTAAAACGCTAACTTACAAAGTTACACTTAGTGACTTAAAGTGAGACTCCTAGCGAAGATCGAACTCGCTACGCTGACGAATTGATCAACAACACAGTAACACTTCAATTGTTATTGTTCTCAACCTGAAGAGAATTCGGCGCTATTATACTTTTTTTCGCAACCTCTATAACCATAAATCCGGTGGAAGCAATATGTTAAAGACGTAAATCAAAAATCAGAGTAAGGCATGGACCAAAATTTACGATTTCTTTGATGGAGAATTATTACTTTTTTTTTTTTTTTTAGTTTGTAGAGAGATTCGGACTGTTATCCTCATCTTCATTACCATATTCACAACGTTTCGGCCGTTGTATGCTCTGGCCTTCTTAAGATGATTGGAATTTCGAACACCTACCTGAAGATGACCGGAGCGTACAACGGCCGAAACGTTGTGAATATGGTAATAATGAAGATGAGGATAACGGTTCTAATAAATGTAAATTAATGCAAGTAGTAATCATAATACCTCATCTCAGAGATAAAGGCAGAGACATTTTTGTTTTCAAATCGCCATGACTGATTCCTGAATTTGTAACTAAGAAAAAAAAAAACATACACAAAAAATAGCTTTTTTGTTTTTATCGGTGTTTATTTTCTTGATCGAAAACTTAGTTTTCAGGCATTCAGTTTTAAATGCAATTTGTAATGCGCGGGAAGTAAATATGGTGTTTTGTGGAGTACAAAAATAGTGCCAAGAATTCAGAAACTCCAGGAGAGGAAACATTAAGATTGCAATTTGGCGGGTAAGCGGGTTTATTGAAATACTGAGCTTAATTACAAACTTCAGTTCCACAATACAGTGTCCTGTCAAACATTCTTGGAAGAGCGGAATAACATTGTAAAATATATCGGTGGGTGTGGGAAGGCACACAAGTGGGTGATACAGAGAATCAATCAATGGATCTACGAACTTTAAAACCCTCATGCTAGAGAGAGTGTAAGAACTTAGGTTTTTAAAACAAGGTCATATAGTTGAGGTGCCCAGTAATGAAAAATTGAACTCAGTAATTGGTTTGTAAGACGACGGCTTTGTTAAATAATTAAAAAATTATTAATTACATATTTTTTTTACGGTTAGGCACAACATTAACGAGTTTCATTTTTTTTTTTCAAAGCGTCTTTAATGGACAGCTTGTAACACCATCCCACCAGACTTCTCCGGAAAGTCTGTCTTTAATTAATTAAATTCACACACACAAAAAAAAAAAAAAAAGCAGAATAGAAAGAAATTACAAGACTTAAATTACCTCCTCCGTCAAATAACGACTAAAAATCCGTTTGGAGTAAAAATAGGTTAATTCTTAAATGACTAAAAAAAAAAAAAAAAAAAAAAAAAAAAACTATTTTATTTTAAAATATTTCACCGAGCACAATCTCGCTTGTGGTGGATAATTTTAAATTATTATAAATTCTAAAATTTAAATGCAATATCACCGACAAAAAATTACGCGATGAGCAAAAATGTGATTGAAAAAAAGTAGGTTACTTAAAAATTCAGCTGTAAAACAGCATAAAAATAAAAATTAATAATACACATTACGGATATGCAGGGCAAAAAAAAAAAAAAAAAGGTTTTGTAATCTTTTTTTTAGCAACAATTCATTCAGTTATTTAATTGAAGTTTTGTGATTTGTAAATAAAACTGCTAAAGAATGTTTTTAAATGAAAAGTAATTTTTAATTAAATCTTATATCATTTGATTGTAAATATTTATCTACTTCTTTTTAAACGTTTAAAAATATTTTTTATTTTATTTCTCATAGTTTTTCTTGTCTTTACTCTTAAAAAGAGTTATCAGTTGTTTTTTTTTTTTTTTAGCAGCTATCATCACTTTGCTTGTCTCGCAAGCCGTTGAAAGTGGGATTATCTTTTAAAGATGCCAAAATCATATGTCGGAACTAAATTTATTTTATATGCTAAGTTAGATTAAAAAAAATATTTGCTCAAAATCCAAGTGATTGACAAACAATGAAGGTTAAGGACTTTGCCTCAAATTATTTTTATCAATTTAAAACGTCGCCTCGTCTGCTTTCGGCACAAAATAAAACTTGACGATGACCCGAAAGAAAGGGTCCAACACAGGCAATGAAAAATTGCACATCGCAGCGACACTGACACAGGTCACTGGGTACCCTTTTTCTTTTCTTTTTTTTGTACTATAAGGTTTCCATAGCCAGGTCATTGTTAAATTTGACTCTGTGTTTACATGTTTCTAATGTTTTGTTTACTTAAAACTATGAAAGTAATAATAAACAAGAAGGTGTACGCGATCAAAAATATCTTAAACTAAAGGAATACTAGTTGTACTAACTAAAGGTCATCATTTATTTGTTAAGTTTGTAACTCTTTGTTTAATTCGTACATGTTTTTTTTTAGCGGGGGGGTTCTTATTTTAAAATTTAAATACTTTCCTTTTCGCTTGTCTGGAATCAGACAAAGACGTTTTAGTTTAAAAGTTAATGTTTCAGGGGGGTGGAAACAACAACGTTTTAGGATTTGTTTTGAAAATTGTAACGATTTTTTATTATACAAAAAAATGAAATGAAATCATACAGCTCCAAATCATTGTTAGATTTTTAAACCAAGAACACATATTTTAAATTTGTTTAGTTCTTAGTTCCAAGAAAAAAAATGATGGATGCTGAAGAACAACGTCCCACCCTTTAAGTCCCCTAGCGTTGTTAATGATTTTACTTTTTTTAAATTAATGAAAATAATAGTAATACAAATAGGTGTGCTACAGGTTCATAAAGCATACGACCCCCTTTCCCAGGTGTTGCTTAGGTAACACCCGCTTAGATGCACACAAAAGAAGAAATTATGCCATCTGTAAAACTAAACATTTACGAAAAGATAACACAATTGTTTAAACACGAAAAGAAAGGAGAGAAGGGAAGGCTTCTTATCCAAATATAATTGCCAGTGAGTGGGGGAGAGTTTTGTTTTGTTGTTGTTGTTTTTTTTTTAATAAAGGACTATGCACATGATGGCTACGCAACACCTATCCTCAGAAACCCCTGAAGCCAGTAAGTAGTAACCTATCCCCGCCACGATAGGATGTATATAGGGTCGATTTCACGTAGTAGTAGCCAAGGACAAAAATTACCTGGCGTTGGAAAAATTTTACCTTCCCCACTTGGTGGAAGAGGGGAGGTACTGTAGCAGGGTTTGAATCCCCTGGGACTAGGTTTTCCTCAAGTCATTTCAATGAACTGTCCGAAAGCAGAAACACTACAGAAATTACTAGAACATTTTCCACGCTTTTTTTTTTTTTTTTTTTATCCCAGACGAAAGCTGTTCTTTGATCCTTGTGAAAAGTCCGAGTAAATGTGGCATGCTTGAGCCTACCCCCGGCTATTCTGGAAAACAGTCGACAGATCTAGTTATTTCTAGACAATGGACGACTTTTTTTCTTTTTTGTAAAGGAAATATCAACTCACTTTAAAAAAAAAAAAAAAAGTATTTAAAAAGCGGTCGCAATTAACAACGCGAGGACATTACTCTAGGAGGAGGTCAGGGGTAAAGAAAGTAAAGACAAATGTGACGACATCATCTTTCTTCTTTTACATGCCGTGTCCCCTTCTGGATGTAGGCGATCATGGACCTCCCCCTGTTCCTGGTAGCTAAAGTTTTGTTTTTTGTTATTTCTCCCAGACCCTGTTCTTCTGTCATCCACTTTAAACAAAAATAGACAGTGTTTTGAAAAAATAAATAAATAAAAATAATAAGATATTTTTGTTCACTGAACTGATCACAAGCAGCAATAATTCGTAATTAATTTCCATTAAGGGAAATAATTATGATAAAAATAAAATTCGTCGAACAATCTTTAAGGTTTAAAAAAAAAAAAAAAACTAAATCCCTCCTCCACTTATTTTCCAAGAGATGCCGAAAATTTCTCGGCCCGATACCACTACCTACCCCCCAAAAAATAGACTTTTTGGGTAGAGATGGGGCCATGAACTTTTCGACACTAGCTCGGAATAAGCATCAAAGCAGAAAGCCTAAGAAGGTGAACGCAGTGTTTAAGTCACGTGATCAAAATGCCAATTGTCGCTTTGGTCACAAGTTTGGCCTATTTACAAATGTGAACAATTTTAAATTTCTCAGTGTGTACTTGTCTTGTTTCTTATACTTTATTTATTCTTTGACCTACTTTGAGTTTTACCACTGTCAAAAACTTAACAAAAAATGTATATCCTTCATAATACAATATGAAATAAATTTACTGGTCCGTGCGTTTTCAAACAAACAGCTACCGATTTTACGCGCGACTACTGGGTAATAATGTCGTGGCTCGTCTGGTAAATTTCTATGACAGCTGTTTGCTTTGGGGGGGGGGATTCTCGGTCACAAAGCAGGCAATATTTTGTGGGGTAATTCTTTTACACCTTATTGCTCTATCGACCAGATATTCGCATGCTTGTCTTAAAAGTGTTAAATAAAATTTATAGAGTTACAATTTACAATTCTCAATTAAATCCAGTTTAAACTTATTTATTTAATTCCGTTCGCAGTTCAATTCAGTTTTCATTTCACCATATTAAAATATATATTTTTTTACCACATTTGCCTACGTGAGAATTGTCTAGCTCCCTATAAGTTCTAGGATTCCGAGTTAGTAAGGTTCTGCTTTGGTATACTACACAAGAGGTTTCGTTTATTTAAGTTAAAATCACAAATACTGTATTTTAGAATCAGTTTGAGTTAAGAAGAAGAGTACTGTCCACTTCATTTTTTGTAAAACTTAATGAAAAAAAAAAAAAGGTAAATTGGGAAGAATTAAGAAAAGGATAAATTTTAGTACGTTTGAGTGAGATGCAAGAAGTTCAAAGTACAGTCATTTTTTTCAACCCCACCCCCACTACTTAGTACTTACTCTGAAGTAAAATAAGTCTTTCCCTTTTTTTAAAATAATTATTAATGTGAATATTGGGAGGGATCCAAGTTTTCAGTTACTTAGTTTTAAAAGAACACAATTTTTTTTTTAAATTTTGCATTTTAATTTATTTTAAACAATACTAACAGGGTTATTTTTCCAGAAATCAAAAGAGCTTATACAGTTCCAATAACGGTAAGGTGGTCACATGATCAAAACATCCTTACAAAACTGACAGTTGAATAATAACTTTTAGTTGTAAATAAATAGTAAAAGTAAATAAAATACTGTGTTCTTAATAACAGACTTCATGTATTGTGGTTGGTAAACGATTTTTTATATCTTACTTGTTTCCAAATTTCACAGTTACTTAGTAAATCAAATCAGGAAATTATATGTACGTTTCGGTCAGAAGTGTGTGTACGTGATCATCCGCAGGTGCTTTTAAAGCGGAATAAAGCAAAAAAGAAAAATTATTTAGTAAGGAAGGCATCGATTTTGCTTAGTAATGTTTGTTGTTGTTTTTTTTTTTTTGTAATCAACAAAACAGGAATTTTCTTTAGAAAAAAAAATTGATACGTAAGTTAATAAGTATTCATAAGTTGTGTATGATTTTATCTTTTTTTTTTTATTTGTGTGTGAAAGATCGATAGAGAAGTATTCACAGAGACGGTAGTTAGTGGTGAGGGTGACGCTCTTTATTACTTACAAGTCGAATCTGTGAAAACGCAAAATAAATAACATAGACAGAGGAGGAAAGAATGATAGCAGGTAGATTTTTTTTTTTAATGTCATTGAAGAAAATGAACAGCTTAACATTCAAATATATCTTCTACTTGAAATATTTCGTAACATTGTTATTTACATAAAGGAAAGGAAAGAATACAGAAATAATAAAGCACACTACGCCACATGATAACGTTAGTTTACGTTTTGAGAATAGCCTTTTTTATTACGACAAGAAAGGGATATGAAGATGTCTTAGTTTTTAAAATACTGAAAAAAGTGGGGTTTTTAAAGGAAGTCTCCAGCTTGTTTTGACCAGGTGCGATGATTTTATTTTAAATAATTCTGGTAAAATTGTAGTCTTCCTTAATTAGTTTTCCAGTATCATCAAAGAAAAAAAAACTAGTTTTTATTCATCTACGATTTCAAATCTTTTATTTAGTTTTTTATCAATTAATCATTAAATGATTCAAGTTAATTTCACTAGAACTCATACTGGAAAACTCTACAACATTCAATGAAAAAAATACAACAGAACGAGACAGATTTTCTAAAAAATGCCATCGTACATTTATTAATGAATGAATTATTGAATTGCAGTAGTAACGGTATGCTGAACTGAACAACAACACATTGACAATTATAAAACAAAACGATGTTTAAGTAAAAACTAGGTGACATTATCATTATTATTAACAATTACTAAAAAAAAAAACGGATAAATAAAGCAAGATGATAATTCTCACCTTATAGACTTCTGAGAAAAAGCCTGATCCAAGCTTTTCACATATAAAATCATCTAGCCGCGTCAATGCAGACACGGCATGTTTGAGAGCTTCGCAAGAATTCGAAGCGGTCGGTGGTCGGTACCCGTTATTTCCATCAGGAAACAGGCATGGGTTCGAACACCTTCGACCCCCATCGTCTTCCCTGTCCGAATCGTCATAATAAGACGACAAATTCTCATCTCCGAGGTCTACAGTTTGGCTTCGGATCGGTTTCATGGTTCGTGGCCCGCGCAGGTAACTGCTAAACGGCGGGCCTTGTTGACAACTTTCAAGACTCGTAACCATCATGAGGATATTTCAGAGGTCAAAAACGAAGCTTCCTTCTTCTGTGAGGGGCCTTTATTTTTAAAGCAGCATCTTTCTTTGGACATTACAAAGTCCAGTTGTTAGATAAACGACTATAGTAGCAAATAAATGTAGCGATAGTATCCTTAACTCCGTGTGTGTAATGTAAGTTCTACTAAGCCAGTGAGGAGAGAAACACACTTAAAGCAATGGCAGAACGCGGCTGCTCGCTCGTATGCCGTTTTCTCTCTTTCTTACGCTTCTTTTAGCTGCACTACTAGTAGCGACGAGAGTAAACACGCTCTGACTGTTTTCTAATTAAAAAGGTACTGTTGGCTTCGATGGTAAGAATCTATGCAGCTGTCAACAAAATGATCGCGCTTAGTTCAGTTTTCAAATTGCAAGCACTGACTTTTTGTGTACGTTCGCGTCGAAGTTTTCATTGCTTAGTGCGTGTGGAGTATTTTTTTTCTTGTGTGTGTTGCCGGCTGAACGTCGCTTATACTACAGATTGTTTATTTAATCTCTTTGGATTGGAGTGTACATAATTTAATTGTTCTATATTTGTCCCTCGGGCTGAAAAGAATGAATACTTTGAGTTTTATTATCCTTTTAGTGATTCCCCCCCCACACACTTTTTTTAAAAAGGAAAATACGAATGAATAATAAAGAAAAGAGTGAGAGACAACAGAGAAAGTTTTCTTTTTTTTTTTTAAAAAAAAAAACTTTTTAATCTTAGTAAATTTAATTTGCAGGAACGAAAGTATTAATTTTTAAAAATAACGTTCCTTAGGTACTTTTAAAAAAAAACTTTGAATTAAGTGAAAAAAATGTTCATAAAGTGAAACTTTTTACTACTGAACTCCTTAGGTCTATTTTTATTTATATTTTTGCAACTGGATTGAAACATTGCTGGTTTCAACTGTTGATTAGACGAATTACGACGATACGTGAATTAAAAAAAGGTTATCGAAATAAATTCAATTCTCTTCTTTGATACGGAAAGAAAAAGTAAAGTCGGTTTTTAACTTTTTACTTTACTGTTTTTTTTTTCTATCTCTCTAAGGAACAAAAATTGATTATCTGATAAAAATTTTAAAAAAGCCTCTTAAAAAGTATGATAAATTATTTTATCTCTCTTTCAGGTGTACTGATTTTTTTTTTTTGTTTTTTTAAATTTTCTCCTTGTCTTTTTTTTTACTCGTCTTATCAATACAGGTCTAAAACTTCTACACGTTTCATTTATGTTGCTGATGTAAACATTGATTTCTCGAACAGCAACGACACAAAATGATCTTTTTAAAAACCCTATTCAAACATAGTTTTTTTTTTTTTTTTTTAGTTAGTGAGCAAGTGTGTGCTCACCTGTAAGTGTAAAAGATAATAACGCCAATTTATTTCGTCTAAGGTTTTTTTTTTTTTTTTTTTTTTGTATAGAGCTGCAAGTAACTGACCTTAAAATTATTAATTAAAAATCCAAACAAATCTAATAATACGTCATAAACACAGTTTGCGGTATTTGAATGTGAAGGCATTATTATTTTTTTTTTTTTAACTAATTTTTATTTTTTATAGGTCGACTGAAAAAAAAAGTTATTGACGTGATTTTTATTTCATTTAAGTCGGACAAGTTCATTGTGAGGTGAGGTGAAGTAAAAAAAATAAAGCATAAAAAATGTGAGTGTTGTTAGTATTGTTGCTATTCTCTAGTTAAAAGTTAACATTAACTGAACACTACTGAGGGTGGCAAAGAAAGAAACAACGCCCGTATCAATTATGAACGTACAAATTAATTTTTCTTCCAAGTCAAGTCATATCATCCGACAAAAATCGAACCTATATATCCGGGATCCCCCTTTTTCCATTAAGGAAACTGGAACCGTTTCGAGAACCAAAACGTGCCTTTATGTTTTCATTAGTTCTTGTTAATGTTAACAAACTCTAGTTTAAAAAAGATTATTTAAAAATTAAAATTCATTATTTATTAAAAAAAATCCGTAACTGAACATAAAAGGGACGTTTCGACTGTTAGTGTTAAACATTCATTTAAAACAACCTTTCTTTTGTTATATACCTGTTGGAAAGAGTAACATAACGAATTTCAGCGGACTTATTTACTACAATTCACTTGAAAAGGCCATAAGTAAGTATGAGGCATTCATTGAGGATCGAACTCATTTAAAATATGGTCTGTGAAATATTAGGTCGCTAACCAATGAAATCACCCTCCGGTCAGGCACATACGAATCGTGCCGAATTTTTTTTTTTTTAAACTTAAAAAACACTTCTCGCAAAGAAATTAAGTAAAGTAGCGATATTTCAAGTCATTCTAAAGGTCTAACTTGGAAACGACAGGTGCATTGTACAATATTAATTAATGGAATAAATCTATAAAAAGATTATTCATTATTCTATCACTGAGTTTGTCAATTTGTGGTCCCAATTCTTCCCTCAAAAATCTTCCCTGTAGATTGTAGGAGACAGTTGAATAAAAAAAACAAAAAACATTTAAAATACAAAAAAAAAACGCATAACTTTTTTTTTCTTCTTACTTAGGTAGGAAGGGGCCAAAAGTCTCTTTTCATCAAATTTCGATATGGAGAAATAAAAAAAATAACAAAGACATCTCTCTCTTTGAATTTCTAATACCCATACGAAGCTTTAAAAAATAAACGAAACAAGTAGGTTATTTTAGCAAGACGATGGTACATTTCGTTTCAACGCACTTTGAAGTAGTACTGTGTATGGGGAGCTGGGAGAAGAAGAAAAACTGCAGAGAAAATAGAATTGAAGATTCAGTTGTTTAACGAGAAAGCGTAAACTAAACACCATTTTTGCCTGGTCCTTTTGCTTACTAAATTTTTTTTTTTTTTTTTTTTCGTGGCAACAAACGTAATGCAAAGAGATAGGAGAAGAAATGATGATTACTAAACATTATAAACATTTAAACAAACAATATAGTTAAAATTTCAATGATGACAGCTAAAAAAAAGGAAGAGAACAACGCCTGCTGTAGTTACAGGTATTGGATGGAGGGGAATAAGTAATGATGATAAAAGTGAAAAGAAAAAGACAAAAAAAAAAAGTTTGCCAATAGGTAGATATAGTTTGTTGTCAATGTATTTGCAAGAAGAAATGGTGAGAATTAACATTTACTGCAGACTTTCAAAACTAAAACATGATACTGTTAAATAAAAAAATCGTGATTGTATGTTTTTAGAACTGCCCAACCATGGATGGAACTGGATTACGTATTGGATTTACGGAAAGCTGGATCGTGAGTATTAATTACAGGCAAGCACTTAAAATGTAGCGAATACCTAGAACAGAGTAGGAAGATCATATTGCATCAGTCTTTTCTTTTAAGTGAGAAGAGCCTGGCTTGAAATTACAAGGGGTTGCTGAAAAATGATCGACACGACCTCCTTCCCAAAATTCTGAACAAATATGAGAAATTATTTTTTTAATCTCTCCTTAGTTGGGCTGAGAACGTTTCAGCACTTTGAATACACACACCTCGTGGCTTTCACCTGGATTCAAACATGATAGATATCAGGGGATAAAAAAAAAAAAAGCAACTAACTCAGCCACCAGACAGGCCGTGGGATAATGGAATAAGCTGAAGTAGATGAAGGGAGGTGGGGATGGCCACCTAACGCCCACACCACTCATGAGTTTTGGCAAGGTGCCACAAAATGTAGTTAGTCAGCAGAAGTATAGCACACTAACTGCGTCGTCTTTTCTTCATCTTTCTTTAAATGTGACTACGACAATGATGATGCTGGCAGCAATTCAAAAGCAAAACACGAAGAAAAAGGTAGTCGCATTAGCAATTAATTGGCAGTTCCAGTAGTTGTTTAGAGCAGCTGTTGTTTGTCAATGTAAAAAGATTAGGTGACTACTACTATTGAACCAATGTTTGGAACTGGAATTTTACAAATTCTAGACTGATCGCTTTCTGGAAGAAAGTGTGATTCTGTGCTAGTTTAAGGTTGGAAAATCAGTGTCTTCCTTTTCTCTTGTACTTGTTTTCTTGAGGAGGAATTGAAAATAGAATGGGATTAATATTTTTCTAAGTACCACCAAATGCAACATTTGTAACAATGAGGATTTTATAAGTACACAAAGGTGGATTACTGACATTGGATATGGTTGGTAAGATGTTTAATGACTTTGAAAAGATCCTCCCCTAACGATATTAATTTGACTGTCAAAAAAAGGCAAATTGGGGTCTGGGGTTATTTGGTGTTTTTAGAATTGGATATATAGTAATGGATAATTTTGTTTTTTTACCTTCTCTGCTTATAAGTTAAGAATAAAATAAATGATCTTGAAAAAACTTTTGCTTTATTTAACAAAATAATTTTTACATATCTTTCTCACTCTCTTTATCTATTATCTATCTATATATATATATATATATATATATATATATATATGATGTGTGTCTGTGTGTGTACCAGGACAAAATCTCAGCTGAGAAAACCCAGTTTCTTATCCCAAAAGAGGACAAAATCCTAGTCTTATATTAAAAACAAATTTAACTTTGAAATTTCAAGTAACTTTTAATTCAAATTTTATGATTAAATTGAGACAATAATAATAATAATAATAATAATAATCATAATATCCAATATGTACGCTTGTATGTGTACACTTGTATTTATATATATATTTTTATGTAATATAATACAATATGGTAACATGGGATTTAGTCTACTTTTGAGATAAGAGGCTGGGATTTTGTCCAATAGGTTTATGTCATGGTTACATATATACAGGGTATGCCAGAAATAAATCCCCCACATAATGGTAAGACATTAGTCTTCATCTAGCTAACCAATGTATAATATATATATATATATATATATATATATATATATATATATATATGAATGAATACTTAATTTTTTCATCTCTTTTGAAAATGTACTTAATGAATGAAACCTCAGCAACAATAAAATAAACATCCAACTGGTTTTTGACATATTTCATCATACGTA